ATTTTCCTCAGGTAGGTTTCACTTAAAGAAACCGAAGGTAGCCGGACATCGGTGGCTCAAGCCTTTAATCCCAGCACTCGGAAGGCAGAGGCAGGTGGATCTCTGAGTTTGAGGCCAGCCTGGTCTACAATTAGTTCCAGGACAGGCTCCAAAGCTACACAAGAGAAACCCTGTGTCGAAAAACAAAACAAACAAACAAAAACAAAAAACAAAAAACCAAAACAAAACAAAGAAAGAAAGAAAGAAAGAAAAAGATACAGAGGGTCACAAAGGGACCTGGTCTTGGCAATTTATGACAGTGGCCTTACAGGACCTGTGCTTGGCTTCCTGTCTGCCAGCATCCCTAGTTTTGTTCTAGATATCTCCTAAGGAGCCCAGAGGCTAGATAATGGGCTAGTGTCTGTCTGTCTGTCTTTTTTCAAGACAGAGTCTTACTCTTAGCCCAGACTTGGCTTGAATTGAATTTGCTATGTAAGGCGGTCCTTGGATTAGTCCATCACTGGTAGCTGGAACTTAAGAAAGACAGTGTAGTGTGAAGAGACTGTTATGTCTGCCCTAGGAAGACCTGTATTTGAATCTCAGCTCTAATTAGTTTTCAGCTCTAGGCTTTTAAGTTTGACTTCTTTAGTGTTTGTTTACCCATCAGCAGAGGAAGACACAGTCAAAATGCAGTAAGTTACTCACAAAGGCCTAAAGTGGGGGGCTTCATTATTGCAAGATTAATGAAACAATCACCTCCTAACAAACCCTGCCCATTTGGGGCTCTCACTGGGATAATTGCCTCAGTTTGTCCTGCTCCTGCCGGGGTTGAGCACCACCTAGTGGTAGCTCTGTGTTCTAACTGTGAGTGTCTTTGAGCTTGAATCTCTAGGTGGGTTGGTGTCTTTCTGGCCTGATCTGGAGCGAGTGAGCCTGGATCAAGCATTCTCTCCTCCTTGCTCTCAAGACTGACTGCTGTTTCCTGACTTGCCTACCTCCCTTCTCTAAACAGGTAGCAGTTTTAGCTTGCCTCCAGATAAGAGTTAGAGCCAATCTTGCTCTATGCAAGCATGTGTTATTGGAGAATGCTGATTACACTTACCTGTGACAGAATGGGTAAAGAGTGTTGTAAACTGTGGGAGATTCGTTTGCTTTCACCGAGGAAGGGAGAGTGTGGGATTGAGTGTGGGGTGGCCCAAAGAAGCAGCTGATCAGACACATTCAGAACCAGATGAAGTTGCCCGCTTGCTACTGGATGAGCCTCGAATTCCTCGTTTATGACACAGAGGCCATAGCATTTAACTAAATCATCGTGCTTTTATATGGAAGTACAGCTCAGCAGTCACATACAAGGCTCTGGGTTCTGTCCATTAGCATTACCGGAGGGAAAGTCTGTTTTTATGAAAAGAAAAGGAACCCTCCCACACACAAAGTTGAGAGTGACCCTGAAGTATGGTTTCACGTTGCTCCCACAAGTAATCAGTTCTGGTATTGCTGCTCTGTTCAGGGATAGCAACAGGCACGTGTTTTATTCCTGCTTCACTCTAGTGGATCATTCCTCAAACCTGGAGTGGAAGATGGCTTTGAACAGAAAATGACTGCTAGTTCCCTGAAAGGTGGGCAAGACAGAGTGTGCAGCAAGCCTGAAAATTGTTCCTTAAAATATACAGAGCTTGGGCTAGAGAGATGATCCAGGGGTTAAGAGCACTCACTGCTCTTCCTGAGAACCCCAGTCCAGTCCCAGCACCCATGTTAGGCAGCTCACCTGTGTGATGTATATACATCATGCACGTACACAAAATTTTTTAAAATAAAAACAAATCTTTAAAAGTGAGGATGACTACACGAAGGCTCCTAAAAGAAAATAAGCAAGTGGTATTTTTTTCCCTCACTCTGAAAAAATACAAACAAACAAATTTGAAGGCTGTATCCAGTTCCTAAACTGAAGTGAGAACTGAAGTCCAAGTTCTTTGACACAGACCTATCCCTACCCTCTGGGGGTCTCTGTGAGTGCTTAAGGTTTAAACTGAGAATACAGAGAAACCAGACACAGAAAAACAAGCCTCCGAACTCCTCCCTGAGCCCTCCTGTCTGGGCACAAGACTTTTCAGCTAAGGGCTGGCAGGAAGAGCAGTTGTCTAACCAGCAAGTGATTTTTAAGATGAAGAGTACTTAATATTCAAGACTACCTAGTGAGATCAGGACCAGCCTGGGCTACATGGCAAGACCTTGTCTTAAAAAAAGAAATCAAAGCAATGCCTGCTTATTGCCAAGCATTTGGTGAAACATGGGAAAGAAGGAAACAAAACCCCCTCCCTCCATTCTGCAGGTTCGCAGGGGCTGTCTTCTTCACATGGTTGGGGCATTTAGATCTCACTTTTCTTTTTTCATGTCATAATATGATAGTTTTAAAAAAATTAATAACATGTCTTTTAAAAATTAAATAAGTATTTTCTGTTATACATAATTCTAAAAAGCAAAACAAAGAATGTACTAAAGTCTGTAATACCATTTGTCAAGTATTTTAGAAGTACATACAGTAGCATTTCCATGTTACATTTCCACCACCGCTGGCCACTGTTCCCCTTCCTCCTGCTATGTGGAGTGTTTGGTGCTTACAAAATGGAATTGTGCCATGAATTCACATGCCCAGCTTGCTTCCTTCACTCACTAACTCATTCTGACTATCTTTTTTATAGCACAAGCATTTTCTGGTGCCATTAAAACACGATCACGTGGTACTTTAAAAGGCTACGTAGCAGTTCATCAGTTAGCTGTTCTTGGTCTTATGTAATCCTTCCTTTGAGTAAATATTTATCGACTTTTTAAAATTCTGTCCCAAGGCCAAGTCTCAGGCTCATAAGTCAAGATAAACATCTTAAAAGTTTCCTTTCCAGGAAGGGTTTGTCGTTTTACACTTATTCAGTAGCTTAGGAAAATATACAGTGACAAGGATCATGAACGCTTCATAGCCCCCTGGTGATGTTACACCTCCCCCATGCTAGTGTCTGTGTCTGTCTGCATGGTAGGAGATTTAATACTTTTGCATATTAATGGTCTTTTGTGGGTTTTAGATTAGAGCTATTCTCTCCTCTGTGAAAAAAAATGTTTTTGTAAATGCGTTTGGGCGTTTTGCCTACGTGTATGTAAGTATGTGTACCACTTTCATGCCTGGTGCACATGGAGGCCAGAAGAAGGCATTAGAGTCCCTGAAACTGGAGTGACTGTTTCTAGCTCAGGTTCCTTAGCCCCTACTCCTGGAGGCAGAGCCAGTGTTTGAGATGAAGTCCTGTCTCCCGGTGGCACCCCCGCCCCTTCTAGTGCTCCACCTGCAACTGCAGTCCCTGTGACCTTTGGTTCTGTGTCTTTAACTGGTTCGTCCTCTAGGAAGTCTAAGCACGAATCAGGGAAATGCAGATGCTCCGTAGATAAGATTGGAACAGGACTTAGTGATCAGTGTGTGACTTGATGGAAGGATGGGTGTCAAACTCTGGACACTGCATGTTTAGTTAGTGATAATGTATAGCCAATCCTTTAACTGTGGTCCACGTTTAGCTTCTCATCCATTGAATGTAATTCTAGGCTCTTCTTTGGTTTATCCATTCTTACATCTCCAGAGCACTGAAGATGCTTCTGTTTTGTCTGTAGAGCATGTCGTGTCCTTGTACACATGAGTTTCAGGGCTTTGGGCTCCTGACAGGTAACTCTTGGGGTGACTACTTCCTTGGACACTTTTCCAGTAGTCACCAGATTTGGTTAAAATTTCTTTTGTTGCTGGGTATGTTGTGAGTTAGAGACCAGCCTAGTCTACAAACTGAGTTCTATGCTAGCCAGGCCTATATGGTAAAACCTTGTCCCTAAAATTTTTTTCTTCTTTCGTTTTGATTTTGTTTTTTAAGATTTTGCTGGCTAGCGTGGGCTGAATTTGAATTCCTGATCCTCCTGTCTCTGCTCCTAAGTGCTGGGATGACAGGCCTGCGCCACCGTACTTTGTGACTTCCGTGATTTTGCTGTCAGGCTAGATCCTTGACTCCAGGATTTTGATTCCATCCAGCACCAAGAATTCATTATGCTTTTGGGGCTTCCAGGGGCTTGCGGGTCATCTCCAGTTGGGCACTAGAAGCACATGGAACCCCTACTTGCATTCCCCATGGAGGTGCTGTGTTGGAACTCGCTCCTTCATTTGTCCTGGTTCTTCACTCATTTGTAACAAAGATGTTGGTTGAGGATGCTTTTCTCTTCTCTTCTCTTCCTTTCTTTCTTTGTTTTGTTTTTCAAGACAGAGTTTCTCTCTCCGTGTAACATTGCTGACTGTCCTGGAACTCACTCTGTAGACCAGGCTGGCCTCAAACTCAGAGATCCACTTGCCTCCGCCTCCTGAGTGCTGGGACTAAAGGCATGCGCCACCATGCCCAGCTGAGAATGTTTTCCTAATCACTGTCTCAGCCTTATACAATCAGAAGACTAATCTAAGAGCTGACGCTTTGAAGTCCCCTACACCAGACCACACCATGCATATCAAGAGAAAACAACATATCCTTCCCTTGTGGCTTTTATAGCTAACCATTTTATAGCACTCTGGTAGGTTGTCATGGGTGACTGTCCTTAGTACCTCAGGAGAGACTGCTGCCAGTGCCCTGTGCTGACGTGTGCCTCCTCTATCCTGTCACCAGGGTTCACTGACCTTTTTCTAAGCAGGAGGGAAGTCCTAGAAGGAGATGTATGGGGAATCCCTAGTTGGCTTCAAGTCTTTCTGTTAAACAGCACAAGCTTCCTGTGCTGAGGGCCATTCTGTCACTCACTGTAGCATAAGCCGTTCTCAAACTTGTGGTGATCCTCCTGTCTTTGCTTCTCAGATTCTAAGTGTCCAGAACCCATCTAGAACCATCCTTTAATAACAAAACTGTCATCAACAGTTGGTATCTCTTGTGTGGCTAGAGTTAGGGGTCCTTCCTTTAAAACTGTCTTCATTATATATTAACCTTTTTTCCTTTTACCCCATCTTCCTGTTTTTACTCCAGGCAGAAAGTTAAGAGGAAAAGCCTTCTATTTTGTCAATGGCAAAGTATTCTGTGAGGAAGACTTTTTGGTGAGTATATCACCCGGAGCGCAGAGGGTAAGGGTGGCTTAGGGCAAGAACCTGAGAGGCCCAGATGGCAGGAGATTGTTTCTCTGCACTAATGATACTGGGAGAAAGGCCATTCCCTCCTGTGGGTGCTCGGGTAACCCGAGTCCTGAAGCAGAATACAAAGCTTTATGTGTGGACAGATGTGCCCTCCCCTCTGCCCCACCTCTGCCTGTGTATGTGTGTGCATGTGTGCGTGAGAGAGGAGAGGAGAGGAGAGGAGAGACCGAGAGACCGAGAGACCGAGACCATGTGCTATCTTCAGAGCCCTGTTAGAACACAGATGCCAGGCCCCAGCCCTGTATCCATCTTGGTAAAACTGAGGTGGAGTTCCCTAAACTTAATTTGTTCCGAGTTTCTGAGTGAGTCAAGGATCTTGTTTCGGGAATCTTTGAGAAGCGTTCATCTGTCATATAGAGCTTGACACAGTGTGGGGCCCAGATACAATAGCTGGGATGGGTGGCCCAGGACTGAACACACAGCTGCACACTCTCAGGGGACCCACAGGTTTCTCAGAAAGCCCTCGTCATTTGCTGCTGGTGGGGAGGTGGCTGACTCATCTTTCTTTTCTCCTCTCTGTAGTACTCTGGCTTTCAGCAGTCTGCTGACAGATGTTTTCTCTGTGGACATCTGATCATGGACATGGTGAGTATTGTTCAGCAAGATCACAGCACTTTGGAAGGAGGCTGAAAAGAAGTTAATAATTGAACACAATGTTTTCTTTCTGGCTTGTGGTCACTGCTGGTTTTATTTAAAGAAGTCCTTGTGCAGTGTGGCCACTTCTCTAATAGAAGCTGTTGTTGGCTTGGAGCAATGTGATTTTAGTCACGCACACTGGAGTGATTCTGCTCACACCGACCTCCCTCTGGTTCATCTGTGATCCTTGGCTTTCCCAGTGAGGTGCTAGGAGCAGCCTGTTTTATTTGCAGGAATCAGCCACCTGGGAATTGGGTAGTGTCAGATGAATGTGTTTTTTTCCTTCCAGCACAAGCCGCTCCTAAGAAAGCTTTTGGTTCCAGGACAGGCTCCAAAACAATACAAAGAAACTCTGTCTCGAAACCCCCCACCCCAAAAGAAAGCTTTTGGCATTTAGATAGACAGGGCCCAAGTTTTTCATATCCCATTCTGTGCTCAGCCACTGACTCTTTTAGATCATGTGGGTCTCAGTTTTTGCTTCATAAGTAAGACTAATGCTCCCTGTGGAATTGGGCAGTGAGGTCAGCAAATTGTTTACCATTGGAAACTGGCCTTTAAGAATTTAAGAGCTGGGCATATAACACAGTGTCAGAACGCTTGCCTACCATGTCCATGCCTCTGGGCCCCATCCTTAATACTGGGAGGAAAACACAACCCAAAAAATGGTCAGCTGTGCTGGTTGCTTAGAGGCCTTAGAGGCCAGCAACTATTTAAGTCATTCCCTCAGTCCTTGACTTGTGTCTTAATGCTGTCTGGTGGGTATCATTTCCCAGGAGCCACTCCCTGTTAGATGAGTTTTGTTTCATTTGCTGTGCTCATCTTCACTTAAAGAACTTCTGACGGGGCAGGAAAAGTTAATCCAAAGAGTTTGGCCTGTGTGGATGATTCCTCTGGGGAGTGTTCAGCCTACAGGCAGCTTGCTTGCTTGCTTGCTTGCTTGCTTTCTGACTGGGAAGTAGCACAGTGCTTGTCAAACATGCCCAAGGCTCTGAGTTCAATCCCAGTGGTAGCAAAAAAAAAAATTATGTTGTCTAACATAATTTCAGCTGGAAACATTTATTACCTTCTGTTTTATGCATTTAATTTCATTTTGGTGAAGGAAACTACTCAGAATAAAAGGCACAAATCTTTTTTTTCTTTTTCCTATTTTTTAAAAAATGTATTTATTTTATTACATATACAGTGTTCTGTCTGCATGTATCCCTGCAGGCCAGAAGAGGGCACCAGATCTCATCACAGATGGTTGTGAGCCACCATGTGGTTGCTGAGAATTGAACTCAGGACCTCTGGAAGATCAGTCAGTTCTCTTAACATCTGGGCCATCTCTCCAGCGCAGAAGGCACAAATCTTATTGTACTGATGAGTGAAGTTTTACATGTGTGCCTGCCCATGTAACCTCATCCCAAATTAGGATGCAAGACATTGTCTGAACACCATAAAATGCTCCATTGCTTCTTCCCACTTAAAATCCTTATCCACAGAGGCCACAGCTGTTCCAGGATCCAATGTCACATGTGTTTGCTGGTTTCAGAACATCACACAAGTTGAATTGTGTATGCCTTTCCTCACTTAAAAATATGTCACAAGCTGGGCAGTGGTGGCAAACACCTTTAGTCCCAGCCCTTGGGAGGCAGAAGGAAGTAAATCTCTGAATTTGAGGCCAGCCTGGTCAACAGAGTGAGTTCCATTTGGCCAAGGCTACAGAGAGAACACTTTCTCAAAAAACAAAACACAGCAAAACTGTCATCATGGGATTCACACACATTGTTCCCGATATGAGTAATTTGTTTTTTTTATTTCTAAGTAGATTTTATTGTATGGCATGTGAATTTGGGTGTTTGCCGTCTTTGAGCTACTTGCACAAAGCTTCTGCCATGTCAGAGTGCTCTTATGCATGTGGTTTTTTTTTTACCCCCTTTGTTTTGTTTTGAGATGGTCTCATGTAGCCCAGGCTGATCTCAAACTTGCTAAATGGCTGGATTACCTTAAACTTCTGGCTTTTCTGCCTCTGCCTCGGAATGGTAGGATTACAGGCATGCTCACCACTGATTATATGTGGTGCTAGGATGTGTGTGTGTGTGTGTGTGTGTGGTGTGTGTGTGTGTGTGTGTTGTTGTTTTGATTTTTTGAAACGGTATCACTATGTAGTCTTGGTCTCGATATATAGACCAGGATGGTCTCAAACTCATAGAGATCCACCTGCATCAGCTTCCTGAGTACTGGGATTAAAGGAATGTTCTACAGTATCTGGCCTGGTGCTGGGTGCCTGGGCCTCATGCATGCTAGGCAAACACTCTACCAGCTGAGCTACATCCTCAGCCCTTGGTACATGTCTTTGGTGGATGTGCTGTCATTCTGGTTCTATACTAACCTTTATAAAGCCACAGTGAACAGAACCTTCCCTGCTCATGAGGGGTACCTGCTGCCATCTAGGGCTTGAACACAGCAGAGCTTAGCCCTGGGACAGCTATGGCCTCATTACTAGCCAAAGTCTCCTGAGCATCTTACTTACTTTCTTATTGTTGTGAAAAGGCACCATGACCAAGCCAACTCGTAGAAGAAATAGTTTACTGGAGCCTTACAATTCCAGAGGATGAGTTCATGAATATCTTGGCAAGGAGCATGATGGCAGGCAGGAGGCAGCAGGCAGGAGGTCTGTAGTAGTTCTGGTACCTAGCTTTGCTTTCTAGGCAAGAACAAGTCTCTGCTATGAGAGAAGGATCAGACAGAAGTTTCTGTTTCCTCCCAGCCAGCAACTGAGAGTTTGCATAGCTCCCTGTTGCCCCTCTCCTGTCCACTCGTCTGAGCAGACTAACCTTCCCATGACCTTGGCTCAGGTGAAGCGCTGGGCTAGGTGGAGCCTGTGCCGTGGTGCAGCTGTGCATGTGGCCCCCCGGCCTGTGTGCTCCTCTTTTTTCCAAGGTCCTTCCCTCCTCTCACCTCCGCGTTTCCCTTTGTGTCCTCAGATCCTGCAGGCCCTCGGGAAGTCCTATCACCCTGGCTGTTTCCGCTGTGTCGTCTGTAATGAATGTCTGGATGGGGTGCCTTTCACCGTGGACTCGGAGAACAAGATCTACTGTGTCCGAGATTACCACAAGTAAGGAGAGAGGGAGGGAGTGGATGGCAACGGCCACACGGGCCCCACTGAGCCCAGCAGGAAGGGAAGTATCTAGAAAACCTTTAAATGTTTGGTTGGCGACCACGCAGAACACAGAACTGTAACCAGAGGAATCCCACAAGCCTATGACTGCAGCTTTACCCCGGTTCAGCAGGCACCAACTCAGGCTTAGCACCTACCACTCTCTGCTTGTTGGACCATCCCTGCCAGCCGTGAAGGGAGCAAACGGCCAGCTTCATCTTTCTTCTCAGGGAACAGGAAGCAGCCAGATGTCCCTGTAGCAGCTGGGAATAATGTTCATATTTCAGAAAGTGAGCCCAGACCCACAAAACCCTGAGTGCAGGCCATGGTGGGCTCCTGGCTGGCCCTGGTTGCCATTGATAGTCCGGAAACAGCGCAGTGTGCACCTCGTTCCTTTTGTTTCTCCCGCAGGGTGCTGGCCCCAAAGTGTGCAGCCTGTGGGCTCCCCATCCTTCCACCAGAGGTAAGGTGCTTTTCTGGATCTACTTATGGATCTTCTAAAGACTGGGCTGTCTCCCCTGAGTCACTCAGAAGCTGTGTAACCTGTCCTTATACCTTTCAACACGACACCCCAGTGTCTGCACTAGCGTCCTGGCCCCATGTCCTTCTTGGAACTGTTTGTCCCAAGAGCCAGACCAAACTGTCACAGACTAGAGGGTCAGAAAGCTTGTCTTTTATTCATCTCTTAAAACAAATATCCCTGAAACCCTGCCTCAGCGAATAAAATAGAGAGTGAAGGAGGAAGACACCAAACATAAACTTCTAGCTTTTGCATGCATGTGCACACACGTGTGTGCCTATGTATGTGCAGTCAGGCATGCATACACACACAAAAAAATAAATAAAAGGAAAAGAAACGTCGCCATTGGTGTTTCTTTCGGTATTGTCCCTGACATCCCAGATCACACTGCCCCTGTCTGCTCTCACACTATAGAATCTGGTCTTTTTCCTACAAGTGTTTAGCCCTCACCCTTGATTTATATCCGTCCCCCAAGGCCTCCCACTGTTACCCCACAGTCTCCCCCCTCACCCTACCCCATTGCTGGTGGCATCCCATGGACTTTTAACTGTCCTCTTTGCATATCTCGCTTTTCTTTCATCCCAGGGTTCAGATGAGACCATCCGCGTCGTGTCCATGGACAGAGACTACCATGTGGAGTGCTACCATTGTGAGGTAGGCCCCTCCCTGTCCAGCCCCCAAAATCCTACCTTAAAAAGGCCTCCTGGGTCATGGGACTAGAGTGGTCACTAAATTCTCTGTGAGGTCTGTCCCCCAAGAGTTGATTGTATGGGGGTAATAACAGATGTTTGGGGTGAAGGTCTGTGTCATTTTATGCAAATTCAAAGCTAGAAAGCTCTGAAGCTTGCGGTTGCTATCCCGGAAGCTACAGAATTCAAGAGGAGTATGTGCTGTGGGGCCCAGAGCCAGACTGTCACTTAGGTGTATAATGAGGGGGTGGGGGAGGAGGTGTTCTTCCCTCTTGGGTGCAGATTGTTCTGTCAGAAGCTTCTGTTTGAACTGAGCCCTGGGAAGCATGGAGAAACTTCTTACGGAAATAGGTGCATCAACTGGTGGGTATAAAATGTGTGTGTGTGTATGGGGGAGGCTGAATCCTTAGAAGTAGACTAGATTCACTTGTGCCTTGTAGGTGAGGAGAGCAGGGAGTGCTGGTAATGTGTAGATAGGTTTCACTGCTAGTACTGAAGAAGTAGGTGGAACCCATGGCTGGTGGCACATCAGGAGTCTGGAGAAGAGAGTGAAGACTTAACAGTCTTCTCTGCACATTCATGACTCTGGGTGGCCATTAAAAATATAAGTGTCTCACCCAGCAGTGGAGGCAGGTGAATCTCAAGGCCAGCTTGGTCTACAGAGCAAGTTCCAGGATGGCCAGGGTTATACAGAAAAACCTCATCTTGAAAGAACAAAACAACAACAACAAATACAAGTGCCATGGTTGGAATTATGTGTGTCTCTTCCTTTTCTAGTAGCTGCATTCAAATAGTTGAAAGACACAGGTTGCTGGTGATGTGGTTCTGTTGGTAGCGTGCTTGCCCACCGTGCATGAAGTCCTGGGTTCAGAATGAAGCATCATAAAAACTGGAGTGGTGGACCTGTGATCCCATCACTTAGGATGCTCAGACAGGAGGATCAAAAATTCAAGGTCATCCTTGACTACGATGACATAGCAAGCCCGGACTACATGAGACTATCTCAAAAGAGGTGGGGGGCGTGTGGGATTAGTTAACCAGCCCATAAGACACACAATGTTATCATGTCAACTTATAGTCCATATAAAAACTACAGGATATTTTTCTGTCTTCTTTGGGTCTTCTGTCTTGGAAGCCTGGTGTGTGTGTGTTCTGAAGCCACATCACAGCTCCAGCCAGTCCCATTTGAAGAGTTCTGTGGTGGCATGTAGCCACTGGTTCTTTCCCTGGACAGGAGCTGCCCACAATCCTGAAGCACCCTTTGCTGAGTGGGTGGACTGCGGTTCCGTGTTACTCCTGCAGTCTGTTTTGTTCTCACGGAACATCCTTGCCTCCTTGCAGGACTGTGGTCTAGAGCTCAATGACGAGGACGGTCACCGCTGTTACCCACTGGAGGACCACCTGTTCTGTCACTCCTGCCATGTCAAGAGGCTGGAGAAAGGACCCTCGCCTGCAGCCCTCCACCAGCACCACTTCTAGCCAGAGACACAGTGGGGATGCAGGGCCAGGGTTGCCCGGGGAGGGAGGTGTCTGTAGGGTACTTCTGGGGGGGCCCCAGAGCTGGGGCTCAGGAAGAAGAGGGACAGGTCAAGTTCCTGTGTGTGTGGAGGGTACCTTTCCTTTAAGCACAGCAGTGTGCACTCCCCATCAAGTCCACGTGTTTCCCCGAGCACTCTCTCCCATTGCCATACCCTCGACAAGTCGCTCAGGAAGATGCTCTGGCTTGCACACGGCACAGGACACAAGGTTGGGGCTGTGTGACTGGACACGTCCTACTCCGTGGAAATAGTTCCTGCCTCACGGGGACAGGTTTTCGGATTGTGCTGAGCACGTTTCACAGTGTTCCTAAGGAGGAGCAGTGATGGAGATGAGCAGCACCTCCCTTCTCTCTCACCTGCACCCAGATAATCCTCACACACCCTATGGTGCGACTTACAGTTCTTTTCACCTCAGACCTTTACTTCTTCTGAGAACTGCATTACAACAGGAAAGAAGCATTGCACATGCTTTGCACCCTTGGTGTCTGCTTGGTAAACCAGAGCCAAGCTGTGACATCTGGGAGGCTGGGTCTCCCTGCTGTGCCTCTGCCTCTGCTCCCACTCCCGAGGCAGCTGAGCTGGGGCAGAGGCCTTCCTTCCCTGTCCTACACAGCCAGCTCTGAGAGAACTGGTGCAGGCACCGGGACTCTTGTCCACTGCTCGGTGCTGTTTTCCTCTAGTCTGTGACACTAGAGTTGCTTCCTTAAGGTGAGTCTGAGGACCTCAGGTGCTCATGCTCCCTGACACCTCTTTCTGCTGATTTGCTCATGGGCTTGAATCCCAGTCCGTATCTGGGAGAGAGCTCCTCTTGAAAGGGGAGTTTTTGCATGCGAGATCTCAGAGCTAGCCCCAGAGGGAGCGCCTGAGGGTGTTAGATGAGCTTGTTTCAGAGGTAATCTCTCCTGCCCACTACTCCACACAGACATTAATTCGGTTTGAAGAAACCAACATAAGGTACACTGCTTTTGACTGTTTTTTTTTTCCTTCATTATTTCTCTCCACCTTTTTTTCCACACACAAATCATACCTCAGTGATAGTTTTCACTAAGTCACGGATCAAGGAGGAGACCGTTGGTTTACTAGCAGTGGCTAATTTCCACTCTTGACTGCAGCTAAGCAGTGCAGTTTCGAACAAGGCCTAGATGCAACTGAAACCAGCACCCTGGCCCGCCGTGTGCCTCTGCCTCCTGGGGTAGCCTGGCTGAGAGGGAGACCACATGCTGACAAAATGTTAAGATCACCTCTGAGCTGGGTATGTGGACACCGTCCTTCCAACATCTGAGCGACTGGCTTGTGAAGTAGGTGTTCAAGGCTGTCCTCAACTATATGAGGCTCTGGCCCCACTCAAAAAAATTTTTTTTCTTTTTTTAAAGAGAAGAAACAAAAACCCACCCAGCACTAAAGAACATAATCAACTCTGCCTATCACTTCCTGAGGTCAGAGGTCAGTGTCTCCTTGACAGTTGAAATGGGAGACACTGGAAATGCATAAACAGAATGGCTTTTCAGTTACCCTCTTATCTTCAGGGAGTGCCCACGGCTTGTGGCAGGAAGGCTGTAGTATCTCACATCTGCCAGTCTGGCTGGGTACCCAGCGACTGGCTTGGGTGATGCAGCATGGTCTGCGGAGCCCCACCGCATGTGAAGCGGACTCTTGACTGGGCCCCAGCTCTACCTGTAGAGCTGTTTCAATCCTGCTGGCCTCTGTTGCCTGTGAGAAGATCAGAAGTGGTGCTGGGAACCAGAACCATCTTTTTCATTTTTCTAAGGTTCATTCTGTTGGGCCCAGATGTCACTTCCTTGTTTCCTGTTCTAGACAGAACCCCTTAAAAAATAAAAAATCAACTGACTATATGGGGCTACAGAGATAGACCCTGAAGCTAGGCCCCCTTATTCCCTTAAGGTTATCTGGCTTGGCTTTGGCAAGGCTTACAGGAAAAGGAAATGAGCCGACAGCCACCCTTGAGGTGCCAGTCTCATTGGCATACCTTACTCCAATTTTGAGTCAAGACGACTGAAGAAAATTGTATTGGAATCAATGTCAGAAGTAGAGGGCATTCGTTTGCAAATTGGATAATTAGTTTAAAACTCTGTGATTAATTTTTAAATGGAATTCCTGATTGGGATGATTCAGGTGTGTTTGCAAATACAGTTTATGTTACTGAAAAAGATCAATAAAGGAATTTGCAGACTTCCTAGGATTGTCTTCTGCGATTGTTTTCTGGAGCAGGTACCACTAGGGGTTACTTATTCTGTGTTTCTCTCCCTCTTAGGCCCCTCATGGAAAACATGCAGAGATGTTCACTTGTCTGGGATTTTAAATGTGCTATAAATTTTGGTCAAACATTCTGAACATCTTCAAGCACTGCTATGGCTTGGTAGCCTTCAAGCGCTCAAAGCACAAAACAGGATTGCTAGGAAGATTTGGAATCTACAGTCCTTTGCACGCATTAAATACTGTTCTGCAGTATACCTTTCCCATTCGGTGAAAGTGTTCCCTACCAGTTACATTCCTTGCAAAGAGCAGTGTGAGACTTGACTGCAAACTATGGTTGCACAATACACTTGCAAAAACTCTTAGGGTTGGGCGGTGGTGGTGGACACCTTTAATCCCAGCACTTGGGAGGTAGAGGAAGATGGATTACTGTGAGTTTGAGGCCAGCCTGGTCTACAGAGTGAGAACAGAAATGACCACTTCTGAGCTGGGTATGTGGACATGCACACACACACAGGAACGCCTAATTCTGCATGACTTACTCTCCCATCTTTCAGTATCACTTAGTATTCACCAAGGCCTTAATTTATATTCCTGACTGGTGAGGCAAGGCCAGACTTTTGAGTCTTTACCTGCGTAGAGAGCCTGAGCAGGAGCTCTGTGCAGGCCAACACAGTGGGTAGTCGATTGGACGTGTCCTTTTCCTAAAGCCTTATGAAGCAGGGTACAAATCAAATCCCCATTTTATTAAAAGAGAGGGGATGTCCAGTGAGCCCGGAGCTGGTGAGTTGAGGGATAGTCAAGAATAGAAATAAGGTGGCACACTGAAAAGCGCGTGACATCAGTCCTCTGGGGGTTCACTCAGCTCCCGTCTGCCTGGCTTTGGAATCAAGAGCTCATGACCGCAGGCCAATTTAGTTCCTCTTTCTGGAAAAATAGGATAACTCTGTACGGATTGGTTTTGTTTGTCTTGCTCTTCGTGTAGTTCTGGCTGTCCTAGAACTCGCTCTGTAGACCCGGCTGTCCTCAAGCTCAGGGAGATCCACCTGCCTCTTCCTCCTTCTCCTGAGTGACTAAAGGCATCCAACACCACCTCCTGGTAATTTTGTCTGTCTAAATAAAGTGCTTAGAGAAACACTAAATAATTGACCAGTTTGACAAGTTGTAAGATACAAAGACTTAGTTACATCAGGAGGAGCAGCAAGATAAATTATAAGCAGATTACACGGGTGGGGGAGTGAGGGGAGTAATACAAGCACAAAACCAAATTTAAGAAGCACCTATATAATAAGATATATAGTGAATATTATATGGGTGAAAATTAAGTTAAACAAGAATGAACTGGCAGAAAGACTGTAATGTCCTCTTGCGGAGGAACTGAGTTCTTTTCCAAGTACCTGCCTTGGGTGGGTGTATCTCTAGCTCCCTGGAGAACTTGCATTCAGCTGCATGTGCACGCAAACACACATACATAAACATATATGAAGCAAAAACATATTTTTAAAGGCCAAGTTTGTGAGAAAAAAATTGAGTACACCAAGAGAAAATAATCAACAGGTCAAGAAATCAAAGTAAAAAGGAAGGAGTGTTTTTCATGTATGATAACTGCAAAGAAACTACAATTTATATCTACTTGTATGTGGGTACACTATTTATTTATAGGCAGGACCCAAAAATTAATACCTGTCTCCAATTTTAGGATTATAGATACATGCTACCACATCAGACCTGGATATCTAATTTATATGTATATAAAATGTCTGATGTTGGTTAGCATGCGAGGAAATATGCTGGTGACAAAGCAATTAGAAAATATGTGCCCAAAATCTTCTAAATGCCCATGAAATGGACCTTTAAAATGTCTATGTGGTCAACCCAAATAGAACATCTTAAAGGAAGAATATTTGAGACAGGTGTGTGGTGCATGCTTGTAATCTCAACGTGGGCTCGGGAGCTTGGAGAACCTAGAGTTCCAAGTCCATCTTCCATAACCAGTGAAGGTCTGCTCTCTTCTCTCTCTCTCTCTCTCTCTCTCTCTCTCTCTCTCTCTCTCTCTCTCTCTCTCTCTCTCTCTCTCTCTCTCTCTCTCTCTCTCTCTCTCTCTCTCTCTCTCTCTCACACACACACACTTAAAACATCCAGTGTCTTTCTTCCTCCCTCCCTCAATCCCTCCCTTTTTTTGAACATAGGGTTTCTCTGTGTAACAGCCCTGCCTATTATGGAACTTGCTTTGTAGACCAGGCTGGCTTCAAACTCACAGAGATCCGCCTTCCTCTGCCTTTCCAGTGCTGGGATTAAAAGACATGTGCTACCATCGCCCGGGCAGTGTCATTTTTTAACCGTTAAAACTGGCAGCAACACATATTTCCAAGATAAAATTTATGCTTAAAATACGTAGTTTTCTTATGTAATATCTTCAAGGAATATTTAAAGGCCTTAAATCTCAGGCAAAAAAAAATTAAAGGACAAACAAAAACAAAAACACTATAAATTCATTTAAAAGCAAGCAACCCCCCCACACACACAAATGTAGAAGCCGGGTATGCTGTCTTGCTCTGGAAGCAGAAGCGGGCAGGCCTCTGAGTTCCAGACCAGCCTGGTCTACATCCAGGTCAGTCAGGGCTGCAAGAGTGAGTCACACCCCTTGCCCCGGCTCTGATTCCGCCCCCATCAATTTTCTGTATTTGGCACATTTCCAATGAACTCTTGGGGGAGTGAGGTATGTTATCTAGGACAACGTAATCATCTAAGGACTAATTAAATGAATAGGCTGAGTCCCCTTTCTGTCACCCGTCTCTGGTCTCACGTAAAAGGAATGGTCATGAGCTCGCTTTTCTGGGCGTCTTTACTGTGAGATCCCTGAAGTTTTAGGGTTTCCTTGCGGAATGGAGGTCAGGTTGGCTTTCCGTGCAAGCTGAACTAGCCAAGGCCACCAGTAGCATCCCCGGGTCCGCGGCCCAGGCCTCTGGCTGTAGAGCAGAAGCTGCGCAGCGCCGGCCGTGCTTCGCCTCCTGCAAGGAGCCTTGGGCGAGCGCTTCCGTCATCGGGTGGAAAGACACCCGTCACGCGCGTCCCTGACTGCGAGCCTCCGCTCTCAGGAGCGTTTTCCTAAGTGTCCTGGTTTACAGAGTCCTGCGCAGCTCTCAGGACAGAGGCGCTAGGAGACCGGCGAGCCGTTTTTGGACAGTTCTGGGTTTCAGACGCGGCTAAAAAGGTGTTTTTCTGCGCAAGGCAGCATTAAGATTCAGAGATACTTGACCTTGGTTATTCTCTTAGCTCTGATCCTTTTCGAGGCGGTCTTGCCACATTCAACTCAAATACGTAGCGAGGAGAGGAGAGGAAAAAATAGAGAAAAAAAACTTGCACATATCGAGCCAGCCAGGAGTCGAACCTAGAATCTTCTGATCCGTAGTCAGACGCGTTATCCATTGCGCCACTGGCCCGGTGCTGGCAAGGCCTCTTCCTGCGATGGCTGATCTCCGATTACGCAGTTTCGGCAGCTTCCTGCTTCCACTTCTCCTTTCTCGCCAGTTCGTCCAGCGAGCCGCTCGGGCTCCAGAGCTACGCTACCCGGACTCCGCCTTTCGCCGCAGCGCGTTACGCCAATCCCCGGCGGTGACGTCACTGCGCTCCTCGGCCGCCTCCAATCCGCTCCTCGGAGGCGTGTCTCGCAGGGCCCGGCCGGCGCACTGGTTTGTCCGCCGCCGGCTTCCGTGCTCTCCCGAGAGGCGGTCCCGGGAGGGGGTGGGACCAGGCCGACGCTCTTAGGCCACCGCACCTTAGAGAGCCGCCGGGCGAGCCGGAGCCGAGGTGGCTGGCGTCGGAGTCCGCTGCGGCTGGAGGAGAGACGAGGAGCGAGCTGCCGGTGCGGTGCACGATGGCGGCGGCCTACGAGCAGCTGAAGCTGTGAGTCCCGTGGGCTGCGGACGCTGACAGGAAAGGGGCGAGCGGCCGAGCGGGCGCCGAGGCCGGGGTCGTGTGCGGCCCTCACCGGCCAGGCTAGCGGGCTCGGCTTTCTCTGTCCGGCCTGGCCGCCGCGCAGCGCAGCGCGGGCCCGGTGTCCCGCAGCCTCGCCCGCCGCTGGGCCTAGCGCGGTGAGCCGGGCCGGACGCTCGCACCTCTGGGAGAGGCTGCGGCCAACTTCCCGTGTGGCTTCTCGGGGAGACGCCTCTCGTCGACTTGCACCCCTGGGAGAGCTTTGGCGCACGCCGGCGGAGCCAACCTTACTCCTGGTTTCTGGCTTTCCGGGCCTGCGAGCCGCTAGGACGAGTCCTTCTTGGGGGGGGGGGTGCAGCAGGAATCCAGTCAGTTGTCTGAAGGGTCGGATGAATCTACTGTGCTGGCTTCTACCGTCTGCGTTGACAGCTAGAGGCTTGCCACAGTAAAATTGACTTTTTAGCAAAGCCAGGTTTTTAGACCTCGCCTCTGGTTGTTTGGAGATGTAAAAATAGGCATTTGTAAGCTCTTTGGCTCGCCCTGGGTTTTGTTTTGTTTTGTTTTTAAAGGCATTTCTCATACTGTTATTCTCCGTACCTGAATTCTTTCCTGGGCGAGTAACTTCGCCCTAATCGCTTTAATTATTTACCTCGAGATTGTTTGAAAGCCACTGACAATAGTCTGGGGATGCCTTTAGCAGCAGAAGCAAATACAACTTTGGAAAAGCTAAGTTAAAATATCCTGTTACTTAGACATAGGCATTCTGATTCGTTTGCAGAGAAAACAAACGTAGTTTGGGTGCTCCTTGTGAATAACTGGAAAGGTAAGTGTAAACTCGTAAACTCGAGAGCACAGAATTAGGAGTGAAGCTTAGAATTAGGAGTGAAGCTCAACACCTTGTGTTTTTTGAAAAAAGGTGGTAATTGGTTTTTCTTCAGTTCACCCTTTGTCCCTCTTCCCCTTGCTCCTGTTCTCTCTGAAAACCCCAGCTGCACAACCCGTCCACATTCTTTCTTCCCTCCCTCCATCTCTTCCTCCCTCCCTC